GTCGCTACTCCTGCCGTTCTTCGGAAATTTGTGTGCCCATGCGGAATATCGTTACCCGGTCAGCCTTGGATGGAACTCACTTTCTCCACCACGCCCCACGTTGTAAACATAACTTGATTGACGTGTTAACGGGACATCGTTTTCGCACTATAGAGACTATCCGGATAAAATGTGTCGTAACAACACAGGAAGCAAACGTGTTTGTGTTGTAATAAGAGCTTTGATCAGAGGTTTAAAACCAGATGTAGCCGAGGCTTGAGAATTCCTAATCCACTTTTCTCCGATGCGCCTCATTAGCAACGCCGCAAATCTTTTCTGGCAAAGTTAGTATCACGAATTTTTTTCGCATTTCACTCCCTGTACGAACTTGCAAATAGAGCCGTGAAAAGCAATAACATCATAGTCCTCCAAGTATTCATTTTTGAGTCTCAGATTCTCGCTACTAATGTGAAGCAGCACGATGGACCAATTCAAATTGCACTATTCGTTGACTCGCCGCTCCAAGATAACAATGATCGCATAAGCTAAAACCAGTTAGATATCCATTTGTCCTTACAGGATGCTAAGGCCGGTGTTTTGCCTTCTGCTTCCAATAGCTATCACAATCCGGCCTGATCTCACCAAGGGACCGCAAATCCTTAATCCACCGTCGGCTCTATTCCAGGTAAGTTAAAGCCTAGTTTTAGCTCTCTATACCTAACACGTAGTTTCTGAACATTTTAGTTTGCATTCTCCACGCTGTCTCGCTTAAGCGATTTAGGAATCTTGAACGGCCTATTATCCTAAAACCATTACTTCACATTTTTTTCTTTTTCAAGGCTCGTGCGACTTCAACAGATGAGCTTGATCCATGTCAGTACATGCTGCAGAACTTGACAAGTACGTGCATCAAAAACTTGCATTGTAAAAACAGAAAGTCTATTTTTTAAGATGTGGAAAGTCTTCGAGCACATGAGTTTGCGTCTTTGGAGCAATGCCTGTATTACTACTTGGCAGGTGAAAGTGCGAAGCAAATGAAAAAGTATGTGTTTGCACAGAGAACAGTTTCATGTACTGTGCTTTGCTCTAGACGAAGGGCACAATTTTCAAACTAACTATTTTTAAACTTGGCTCAGCTAGGTACAGCCCACGAGCTTCTTTGCCGTTGCTGGCCGAAGCCATGGTAGGCTCAATAGAAGAGATAGATATTTGTAAGTCTTTACCAGAGACCATGGTGTCCGAACTGATTT